AAAGAACAGCCCTACAGCAGCTTGAGGGAATTAAGGAATTTGTCCCTCTTAGACAGTAAAATGAAGAGAATAAGGAATTTGGATGCACGGGCTTTTTCTTGCCAGTATGAAATAGGAGACTTGGGACTGAGGGGATTACCCAGTAACTATTCAATGTGAACAAAGCCCAGACCTATCGCTGGAATTCCTTCCTGCTTACTCTGAATACTCAGGACGCCCGAGTGCGAGCTAACACAAATAGTAAAATATCCATTTGATTTTTAAAGTGCCACTTTGTATCCTGTGAATGTTCACAGGAGCAGAGTATTTCCAGAAAACCAAAAACATTAGCATAAAGGGTATTTTAAATTAAAACAACAAAACAATTTGTATCGCAAGTCATCCAACCAGACAGCAAAAGCACCGGCTTGCGATCCCTGTACCCAGGACCGGCAGTAACTAATAGTCTTTATGAACTTTTTACAAACGTTCTAGAGAGTTGGAAATGGTAACAAAGAATTTAACGTGGGAACCAGCTGGATGACACCTCTGCCTGCTCTGACAGATCTAGATGCAAGGTTCTACAAAGGCGTTTCACGTTTTTGTCCTATTACTCGGTACTAAGGATCTATTCACCCATTTCCCCTGCAGCGATCTCATCCCTTGACAAAGGCAGGCTGTTACATTTGTACAGTCGGGAGGTTCACTCCAAAGCAGACAGCGGAAATAGGACCCAAAATTAAAGCTTCTTTTAAACCATCATACTGGAAAGGTGGGGGAGCCCGGATGAAGCAGGGCTCCCCAGGGCAGCCCTGTCTGCCTTGTGATGTGGTTCAGGTTCAGCAAGGCCTGCAATAGAACCTGATGGCTCTTCGGGTGTTTCTTTCCTGTCTGCTCTCCCTTTGCTGTCCTGCTCCCACCTTCATTGTACCTACCTTCCCCTACACCAATTTTTCCAAGGGAGAGGAACCAAAGCGCACACAGCGAGCCCTGGCTGCTATACCCTGCAGTATTTTCTTTCTGATTCCAGCCATCCTTGTTCATATGAGCACTTGCTGGCTCAACTTTCTTCCTAACTAGAGATCTTGCTTGCAGCGATGCCATGGAAAACCTTTACCATACACACACACATTCTGTGTGGCAGAGCTCCAAAAGCCTGGTTACAACTGGAATTTAATGTGCTTTATGAGCCTGTATCATTCAACCCTGCCATCATGCTGACTTCATACTAAATTCAGTGTAATAACCCACTATTGCACCGCAGCCTATTTTCATTCAGGTGATACAAGGGAAAGCCATTAGCTTCTCTACTAAGTCCTACCCGACTTGTGGAAAGCCATAATGAACTGCTGCAGCACTGACATGGGTTTAGCCAGCCCAAGAGCCTTTTGACATGCTGTTAATTGTGAGCCTGACCCTCTGATTTCCTATTTTAATTTCCTCCCACTCTGCATGCCCTGGAAGCCAGCTAGTTGGTACTTACAGAAGACAGATCCTAGAGACCTCTGGAAGCCTATTCTACATTTAATAGGAAATCTTGCTGTGGTGTAAAAGAGAGCTCTCAAAAACCTGCCTATCTGTTAAAAATGCAACATCGTATTTCTGTGAACAACTAATTTGTATTTAAGGAGCCATGTCCCACGTGTCTAGGATTGCCCCAGGTGGTAAATCCAGCATTTTCTGAGCTCTCATCTAAAAATCCTTCCTGTTATTTTATAACTAAAAGACTTTAAAAAAAATTATACATTTTAGATTTCATTTCAAAATTTGAAGAATGACAAACATCACAAACCTTGAATTATTGATTAAATTGTAGAAAAATAATCTTCCTATTGAAATAGGAAAAAAAATTACTGAACAATTTGATGAGGGAAACAATAGCTCTTCCACCAGCTCTTCTAAATATAGTGGTTTAACAACAGACATTAGGCATCATCTTGGGAGTTCTTTTAAGTCACTGCTCCCACCCTCCCGTGTTCTAATTGAAGACTGATTAGAAAATGAGCACGCATACCCCAAACCAACAGTTCTCTTTTATACACATAAAAAAAATTAACTTACGTAATTGAAGATACAAGTTTCCTTGTATCATAAGAAATGTATTAACAAATGTAACAACTGAAAGGACGTCTATGCATGGGTTTGCTTTTCAGAGGTGACAGGCAACATTACAAATGGTGAAGAGGCTGCCCTGTGGAACACGTTCCCTGGGCTCCAAGCATGTCTGTGGTTAGTGGTACCTGTCCCAGGATCCTGCCTCCACAGACTGGAGGGAGGATGCAGAAGGGCAGCCTGGGCTAATGAGTTGGATATGCTGGGGAAAGTCTCTGATGCCTTCAAGTTGTCATTCAAGACCAAAATGAGTGTTAGTTTTACATACAGAAAGAAACTTCTCATTGAATGGAAACTCCTACTCACAAACGTATCCCACATGGGAGTACTTGGAAAAAGTAACTGGCTAATAATTTGGTTTTGGAACCAGTGCTATTAATTAATTATTTTTTGCAAAGTTCAGTTTAAGAAAAGCACCCTCTCAGTGCTGCTGCTGCTTCCATGGAACCTGCTCTGATCTGCAGTAGGGGTACGCCAAGGCTGCCGAGTAATGAGTGAAGACACGATACTGAGGTACTTTCATTCACAGAAAACAAGGGACTTTTTAAAGAGACAACATCTGGCTTTATGTTTTCATTTCAGAACAAAAGAGGAAGATTCTTACTGGGACGGAAAAAAAGAAAGTTTGTGAAACCTGTCAAAAAGATCCTTAATTACTATTTGAAAATATACTTTTCCTTTTTTCAAATTGCCATTTTGAGATAAACAGTAAGGAAGAAGGTCAGGATTATTGAGTCATTACCTATTTAAAAGGCATTCACCTGAAGTTATTTCTTAGGTTAACCATTTATTTGAGCTTTACTTAAGTAAAAGGTTAGTTATTTCCTCCACTTGTACTTCCAAACTCACAATTTTAGTGTCGTTCTCATCATCAGTGTGTATTGTGTGTCCTGGCTCCCTGCTGCCCCAACTTGGTTTTGTTAGAACACCCTAAGCAGACACTTTACAGGAGATGTAGTTGACTGGAGGTAGTTCTGTCAAAGTTTGTTTTGCCACCTGAAGCTGATGACAGGAAGGAATGAAAATACAAACAACCTGCTGTGACACTGCATCTGAACTGGATAAAATACTGAAACTGTGAAACATCAGGAAGAGACCACAACTGGTACCATATAGCCAGTGTCAGTGGTACAAGCACGTTACCTGGTATTATTCCACATTTACAAGATAGAAAAATCTACCAGTAAAATGCTTGTGAAGCAAAATAAGTCAGTTTACAGCTATACTAAGCATCTTCATTATCTTTCGTAATTATTGTAAATTGTTTTCACAATTGTTTTTAGTAGTTTACTCTGTGAAAGACTCTAAACTTAACAGCAATAAATTAAAACAAAGTAAAATAATTTTAATTCAGTGTGTTGCTATGGTTATAATTCAGGTTTATGTTTATTTCTGCTCTGATACGGGCAGGAACTGAAAATACGTGTTAGCTGTAAGCCACACTGGAATGTCAATCCAAACGTCCATATTTCTTCACATGAAACACATATAATGGTTAAACTGACTCAATCACCTTTCACCTACATGCAATGAGTCATCATATGAGATACTAAGAAAAAAGCCTTTTATTTTAAGAATTACTATAATCTGTGCAGGGCCAGGTACCACCCTGTAACCACACAAACCCTTCTGCAGGATTTGCAATCTGCTCCACAAGAGGGCAACCAAATTCCACTACAAAAAGGATAAATAATCTGGTAGAATTGAACAGTGACCACTCGTTTAAGCTAAAAGTCAGAACATCTCCCCATGCTAAAGTGGCTGGGAAAAACCAAGGCATGCACTTAACTTTTGGGGGAGCAGGGGGGGACCCAACCTCTCTCTCTTATTCCCAACCTCTACCCTGTAACTGTGGTGACGGGGAACTGGTACACATGTGGGGAAATGGTGTGTCTGAAGAAACCAACCATTTTTCTTGTTACGGGATTTTAGTATCTTCAAATACAACAAATACCCTGTAACCTTTATCAGCTAAAGCATTTCACTTTACTGACAATAAAGCCACCACAGTATGGGACATAAATAATGCAAACTGGCTATGATATAAGCAATTACTTTGTGCTGCAGGTAGAGATGACTTCCAAGGAAATCTCTGACAGACTAGAGCTGTACCACCATCTTGGAGGCCCGAGTCTTCTGCTTTTAGTCTTTGAGCAGTTTCAGTGTGACTTCCCATGCCAAGGCTGCACTGCCACAACAGTGGATATTTGGAAAATGCTATTCCACTCCCTGCTGAAGGACGGCATCAAAGCTGCTTCACACATGGGGACACTAGTTTAATCTCGCTCCACGACCAGGAAAAGGTGCGCTGGCTCTGTTGCCTGCTGTTCTTACCTCTCTGCTCAGTTGTTTCCTCTGGAGTGCCAAGCAGGTCTGTGCCTGCTCTAGCCACACTTTTCACAATACCTTATACCAAGATCAACCACTCCAAGCAGAATGCACAGGCCTTAAGCTCCCCAAATCCTAAACCAAGAAGAGGAAACCTGCTTATTCAGCCTCTCTATCCAACCAGAACAGTGCTGGTGAGTCTTTTGTACTTCTGAGCAGTTGAAGTAGCTACACTCAGAAGAATCTAAATAATTTTAAATCCAAAATGCATACTGATGCAGCCTACACATATGTTTATCACACTCAACAGTGTCTTTTGGGCTATATTGGTAAGGTTCAATATATCCATTCTCTTTTCAGGTTTTCACTTGATGGCCTATTGTTAACTCAACTATAGAAACACGTTAAGAATATCTGCAGCAATACACAGCAATGTCTTCCTTGAAAAAAGTACTTTAGTATGTGACATTCATGAAACTATCTAGAAAAAAAATCTCTCCAAGGTAACAGAATATCTTGTTCCTATGAGCAAGAGATGTTGGAAACCAACATATTTTATACATGAGCAGTAGGCTACAGCAGTACAACTTATTTGGAACATTACCCCTGTTTACATCACAGTCAAATCTAAGAGGCTGGTAAATTTGCTAGTACTGTGCAAGACAGTTAAGCTCTATAAGTCTTCACTATAGAGCTCATTACAGACCTGTTAATGGGGGACAACCCTTATTGCCATCACTATGAAACAAGTAAGTCTGTATCTTCCAGATAAAGCCTGGCAAGCACAGTGGATTTGCAGGGAGGTGGCTCACAATTTCATTCAAAGCAAAACAACAAAGAAATGAACAAACTTCCAAAACCTGAAAGTTCCCCAGAACAGGCTGATCAGATGCCTAACCTGGCAATACAGAATTTTCCAAGAAGTAAACTTCGGTTTCTTGCTTTTTCACACTTCCTCTAAAACGTTCCAAAACTTAAAAACCAAATTTTTTCTTAGTTAAAAAACAACCTTTGATGTGTAGTATTTTTTAACTTCTCCTTTGGCTAGTTCTGAATACACTGCTTGCTGACACAACTAGAGAGAAGCAGAACAGCAAAGTACTTACTGTTCTGGACTGGAGACTGAAGTCCTTCGTCCTTCCACAGCAATATTACTCTTAGGTCTCTTAACAACATGAGGTCTTGGTGGGCGAACCTATGACACACACACAGAGAAGACATTTCATCGAACAGATCAAACAACAGACAAAAATAACAAAACATGTGTAACCACTGTTATCTTAAAGGTATCCTCCATTCAAAATTGCTTTAAATGTCTATTTTTTGTGCCACAACAACGTTACAAATTAATGCAGATATACAAATGAATAGAAAGTATGAATATAAACTACAGGGACCCACAACTTGTTTAAGGAGAAAAAATCCCCACGTTTTTGACTAGCAAATGAAACGTATGTGTTTGTCACTGCCTATTAGCTATTAGCAAAGCAACAGAAATTTGTTCCACTGTCCTGTTTGGTGCAGGCTAAATTTCTGATAAAAAATTCCCTAATTGTGAGCTTCCCATTATACAGTTTGTTGATAAAGTAAAACTGGAAACTCCTCTATGTTGCTGTATATTATATTGGAAACTGGAGTTCAGCTTGGACATAATGATCTTTTTGTCCTCTTGTTCATGGGAACCCAACTTCTCAAGTCAAGACTTCTGTGTGAGGCAGCACTGAAAAATTTGTACTTAGAATAAACGTAACAGGGAAAACACAGCTTATTCTCCATTAAAAATCTGCTTCCTTTCAGCAGCTGAACAGAAACCCTCACCAGATGTATTATCATTGTCACCCCTAATGTTATGTTAGTTTACCTGCTGTTGTCTGTAATAAAATCTAGAGCTGTTCTGTGGAAGATGATGTTGCTGCCAATCGAATCTTAAATCACATATCCATCACCTTCTAATGGTCAGAAATCAAGCTTAATTTACTTACATTAACTCCACAAGCAAACAAGTATTACTTCAAGTAAAGGCATAAGCGCTTATGATCACTATATAGGCAAAATTTATGGATGTGCCTACCCATGCTAGTGAGTAATCCTGTTGACGAACTTATCCCTATGAACCAACTGTGAGAATGAACATTTACAGCATCAGGGTCAGGCTGTACAAAGAACTGCTCCATTTTTTCTTAAGCAGGTACTACCTTAGCTGAAACGGAGCCCGATTTGTTGGCTTAGCTGAATGCTAGTTTCAACAGAAATCCCCAAAGCCCTCAAATAAAGTTAGGAATACAACTCAACTCCTGACCTCCCTGCACTTGTGCTCCCTTAATAGCCACAATATAAAGGAAGCTGTTAAGGCTGACAGCGTAAGCGCTCTTCGGATGACTAATGAATTTGTGTGCAATGATAGAATAGATGCAGATTTCCCCCCACCTTGGCAAGTTTTTGTTGGTTTTTCTCTGGTTTTGTGGTTTTATTATTTGGGGTAGGGTGCTTCTGGGCTTTTAGGTTTTCTTTCCTTTTCCCAGGCACATAAACCTCAAATTTTCTTGCCAGGAAAAAGCCATCGAATTGTATGTTGTGTTTCTGCACTACACACCAGTATGCAGAAGATAGCAGCAGGATTATTGTACTGAATTTTCATTTCAAAGGAAATGGTGTACAGCAGATATGATGAAGAAATCCAGAGATGTATTGCCACTATTTCTTAGGAAAAAGGGCTTATGAAAAGGTCAGATGTTAAGGTCTTGAAGATCAGTCCCCACACGAGGCTGCTCCTCTCTACAATAAAGACGGCTTAAGAATGTGAATTTACGGCAGGAATGGAAGGATTAAGTTTGTGGCAACTTCAACTGAACTTGCAACGTGGTGAAACATGGGGAAAAGAACAACAGAGCTAATTAGACGAGCTGAGCTGTCAGAGTGCGGCAGAATGGCTCGGTGCCAACAAACAAAAGGAATGGGCTGGCAATCAGCAGGATCGATGAAGAATACTGCTTCATTAGGGTTGATAAAACAGAGAGAGAGAGACCGAGAGAGAGCCAGTGCGTGCAGGAGAGGGGGGAGAGGAGTGAGAGGGAAAATGGGGAGAAGAGAGCGAGAAGGGGAAAGAGAAAAAGAGAGGAAGAAAGAAACCTGTTTAATTAAATCTGAGCTGGAAGATGATGTGTAAAGCGGGCTTGTCATCATGCTGTGAACACTTTCACCTTTTGGGTGGTTCCCCAGGGGAGTGAGGGTGATGGGGGAGAGAGATGAGAGTTTGGGATGGCTCCAGGGGGCCACCAGACCACTGAAGTGCAGGGTGACATGCTAAGTAGGATTTAGAGCATTGTTCATGGGGGACTGCAGGGAAAGACAGGAATCAAGCCAATTCCTTGCTGGATTTGGAGCCTTATGTAGCCAAATAGGCAGGGTTAAGTGCTTATCAAATGCAAAAGTACGAAAGAAATCCAATTACATGAGCACACTGCTAAAAGAATAAAGGTAAACATCCAGTAGAGAAGGGTTAAATGTGCTTATTACTGTCCCCATCAACTTTATGCATAATTATTATATTTTAACTTTTTCTAATTGAATGAAGTTTCCAAACAGCCACTATTAATCCAAACAGATCTCTATTAATTATTAGCAACAACCGTCTCTTTCTCATAATACCACCACAACTCTTTTCCAAAACAGCAGAATGTAGAGAACATATCTGTTCTGCTTCCTTAACCTTTCTTTGGTCTGTGTTTTTGTTTTTAGTATTAGCAACGACACATACTGCAAGGACTAGTGCCCATGGATTCCTCCTCCTAACAGATGCATCCTGAAACCACTAAGGATTTCTCAGGAATTCTCGTATTACGTGGACTTGGTTGGAAGAGCAGGGGGACCTGGTCTCCTCTTTGAGTGCTTGCTTGTAAAAGCCTGGGATAAATTACTTGCCGATACCCACCTCTGTAATATATGCCAAGACTAAGAGAGGGAAAAAGCAGCCTGCACAAAGTATTATTTACACACATAAAAATGTGTTTCGACTATTAAAAGCCAAATAACAGTTCTGAACAACAACAAATTTATGTATATTTGGTACAAGCATATTTTTGGGAGTGATTATAATCATTTGCATTTATCTTGAATTTCCTCTTGATGAATGAAGCATTTCTGTTCCACTTACTTACACAGCTAGATGAATGCAACAGGAGCTTTTATTCTTACATTTCCAACCTTTTATCAATCACATTGGGAGCAAAGACAGTTGACACAAACACATTATAGTGAGGACTATTAATGCACTACAGCTGGGAGATTAAACAGTCTTAGCAGGACTTTGATGTAAAATAAATTACTCAATCTGAACAATAGCGTTCAGCAACTTTTGTACAGAAGAGTCACAGTGTGCCCTCATACACCTGCCAAACACAACACGAGAGGGCTATGGGAACCCCATAGTACCAAGCAAAGTTTATTCCTAGTGTCTCCCACATCAATTACATTTAAGAGAACACATATAAGCATATTCAATGCTACCTTTTAAACACAGAAAACAGAAATCTTCAGAGCAGGAATCCATACAAGTGACTCTGTTAGGCCAAACACCCAGAGTTAAAAAGAGGGAGGAGAAGAAACGCATGCTATTGAAATGTAACATAGGAAACATGCACCAAAGATCAAAAGTTAACACACACCCGAGTGCACTTGTTAACCAGTTGCCTGCTCATCCAACACATATCTTTAACAAGTTTTAGCAAGATTAAATTTGAAAACTTGCATTTCTTTCTTATGCACATACATGTATATAATATGGAAGCAAGGAGTAAGAGGTATTTGCCTTTGGGGAAACTATTCATAAAGCAACAGTCCTAAATAGAAATAAGTATCTTCCAAGGCTGTTGCAAAACCCAACACCCCTTCTAAGCTGATACTGCTTGCCTGTACTACTGAAAAAAAAATAAACACTGGTGCAGCAGTGTTCAGCTTTAAGCCATGTGGCATACTTAATATGTGACAATTGTCCTAGAGTTAGTGTTTTGAATGAAAAATTGCTGAGATAAGGTATCCCTGCCTAAGACAGTGCAGGTATTGCACTGAGAATAATATCTGTGTAGTTTTTCTCTTTCAAAGCCACTTCCTCTGGCCAACATGCTGTGCCTACATTTTTTACACTACATTACACAGAGTCTACGTACATCATCCATAATGTGGCACTAATGCTCTACCACCCTAATATAGATTTTGCTTTCTTCATGTGTATTCACACATCTATTCTATGGAGGAAAATTCAGTGTCCCAAATTAATTTTAAGTCTCTTCAGACTTGTGCTTCCTTTCGTATTTGAGGTTAGTGCAAGTCTTCAAAAGTTCACTGGCTAAAAACTTACGCCAGCCTAGCAAGACTCTAAGAAATCACCGCAAAAGTAAAACCAAATGTTGCAAGAGAGCAGCATCAGTTACCTGCAGAACTGACTGAAAGCTGCAGAACTCGTCAAAGAAAAGCAGAACAAACGCAGGTCCCAGGGCTGTGCCGCAGCAGAGAAGAAGGGAGTTTAGGAGCATAATTCACACATTGCTTTTTTGCAAAGTTTGACAATCCAAACTACCAAGGTTTAGTAATGCTACTAAGAGCGTAATTCAGGCAGTGTTAAGCTGTGGCAGTGAGACAAAACTACCAACTACTCACGGGCCTAGACGAACGCTGTATCTTTGGAGGCGGTGGCCGAGGTGGACGGAGTCTTTGCTGCTGTATCAAAGTGGAAACTAAATTAAAGTCACCTACATGAAAACACCTCTGATTTTGTGGCAAAAGCAGTGTGAGTAGATGACAACATCAGAATTACCTTAACTTCATACTCACCTTACAAAATACAATTTTTCTTTTTTCTTTTTCTCTTTTCCCCACCAAAGATAGTGACAAATCTCATGACCTACAGAGTGCCACAACAGGAAAGGCAGCAATAGCTGCCTGTTGACGTAGGCTTAATATAAAACGAAGGTAGGAGAATCAGCACTCCAGACCAGAGCATCCAAAATTTACTGAGATAACAAAATGCTCAAGGTGGATTCTTGGATCTCAAGGTCCAAGTGTTCTAGACAACACTCAGGCAAATGGAAAGAATCCTGCAAAGCAAGATACTCAAAAAAGCTTTCACTAAAATCTCAAGTGATTTTAGTGCTTGTGAAAACTCATGGTAAAGGCCTCAAACCAGCAAAGACTTTTAAGAGTACAAGTAAAAACCCTGAGTCAATTAAACTTTCCATACAGTTAAAGATGAGCACATGTTTAGATGCTGTACTGGACTAAGGTTTAAATTAACAGCCAGAACAAAGTGCCTACTGTCATTCTAAAGAAAACTAAAAGCCCCATCACCAACAATTCCAGTGAAGACAGAAGAGTGCATTAAGATGCTTGTTTTGGTCTCTCATTTTTAAAATGAGCAGTTGGCCAACTCACTGCTTTGTAACAGCACTGGAGCTATTCCAATCCAGTTGCTTTTGACTGAGTCAGCAGCATGACTCTCCTTACACAGATGGCATCTCAAGGTATACTCTGTTAGATAAGGAATCCACTGGCAATTAACGAGATTCTAAATAAAACCATCCTACAGTACAACTTTGATATTGAGAATGAGATCACAGTTAATGTCCTCTCTGTGGCAGCTTGTGTACACGTATTGGCACTTCCAGAGAGCAGTGGAGTCCTCAGTGAGGAGGACATGGGAATGTCTTTGAACGCTGATTACTGCATCACTGCTGCCCTAGCCCGCAGATAAAACCCACAGCCATGAATAGGAGCTGGCAGTGGGAGTCAGCTTCTTCAGACAGAAAAAGAGAGCTTATGCAGATTACTGTAGTTCTCTCCAAAAAAGATTCCAGATTCATACCTCAGCAGTTCTTAACTTCTTACTAGCATAGCCTTTATTCTAGATTGACAGACATTCTTTCTCAACTACCCTCACACTGTGTAATTGTACAACTCCAGCCTACCCTTTTCCACACCATTTTCATTCTCTTCTTGCAGCTCTTCAGACTTTTCTTTCAAATTTCCCATTAAATTATATTTTTGCATCCATTGGTTCACTTCTTACTTATGTTGTCAGTGAAGGGGTGCCAGACTGCACACATGTACTTGGCTCAGTTTTCTGGGGTGGGGGAGGAAAAAAGACAACCCACAACCAAAAAAGGACACTTGGGATGGAGAGCCAAGGCCAGAATTATTCCATGTGATAGCTTCCCTCTGTATTTTCCAAGAAAGCAAGTATGAAAACAAAGAGAACAAAGAGAGATATGGCAGGGTGGCGAGCTGAGGTGGTTGCCATTAGCCTTACTGAGCTGTTTCTCTTCTGTACCTTGTGTTAACCAGTTCAGTCACAGGAGCTGAGTTAGGCTGCTGTGTATCTTCCCATCATATCTGCTCAGGCTGAGAGCACAATCTTAAAATATATCTAACTTCTGTTATGCACCATAGCATACTTATTGTCCATTATTCTTCAGAAGCATAACGAAACACCTGAAAAACCTGAAATCTGCACTTTTCTGGTTACTTAAGAGATTCACTTACTACCTAGCAGCTTAGACAAAGTATGTGATGAAGCACAAAACCAAGGTACAATTATCATTCATTTATTCTTTTCAATTTTTTTATGCCTCCAGCATATGTATTTCCCCTTGTTATTTTTTTCTCTTTTACTCACCTAGAAACTGTGAGTATTTCTACATTAGAACATTCTCAAGTAGGTTATTTAGGTGGAAAATTCAGGTATTTTCCTGAAGACATGGCTAGCAGTGCCTTCCTTGATTTGGGAATCAGCCAAACCACACACAGAACTAATACTTCACTCCCATTAGTCCTAAGTGGCCAACGATTACAAGTCAGACCTTAAAACATCATCATGTTGGCCTAGAACTCAAAACTGTATATACTTTTTCTTTCCTTTTGGTCTCTGAATGGTAAGCATAAGCCCACGTTGCTTTCTATTTTTTTCTCAATTCGAGAGGGTCAAAAACTCTCCTCTTTAATATGAACTGTGATTCTCATTTCATTATTCAACTCTAGGACCAAGGAATACTGAAGACAGACTTTTGTCAACTTTTATGAAATACACACGAGTTATCTGCACTTACTGAGGTTACCTCAGCTTCCATTTTATTTGGGCTTTGTGAAGTGACACAGGAGATTAAAAATCAAAATATTTATTTGATTATTTGCAATTCAGACTATTTTTTAACACCATCTAAACCCATAAACTCAGCTGTGATGTCATACCTGCAGTCATTTCTTCCCAGCATTCTCCTCCTTTTTACTAAGCTTTCTATTGGTATCACCATTGATTCAGCTTCCTGCTCTTCTAAACTTACTTTTTCATTGACAGAACTCTCCTCTTCTCTTACTGAAGTTATCACACGACAAATCAATGCCACACAGACTGACATCTTGAATTCCAGATGGAATTCAGTCCAGCCACAATTTACTGATAAATCCATAGTTTTGAAGAGTCATAATCTAAACTCCTTATGGACCTACCTTAAGGAAAAAATCATCATCACTCAAATTCATGACCTTGCTACAAGATTCACCAGCAAAATAAAGGATGGATAACTGCTATCTCACTGACAACTGTTGCATCAGCATCTTGAGAAGCTTTCCTCAGACAGCAGTTACAATTCTACATCTATCTACTGAAAAGTTTCTTATTTCTCCTCCAGAACAGCCGGTACTTTTCTCTGCAAGTGACAAGATACCAGACAAGACATGTGGAACACAAGGTGAGAATGTCCATCATACATTTTTGATCAGACAGAGGCAGTTTTCTCTGGGTGATGCTTAGAGGCAGACCTACTCAGCAGCAATGAAATACTCCTTTGCAAAAGCTAATACGTTCATATCCTTTATTTTTTCCAGCTGAGATTTAAATATCCCATATGATTAAATTAAGCCTTCACCTCTGAGAAAAAAATGATTCTATGTGTTTCCACAATAAAGACACATACAAAATGCTGATTTGGGAAGAGATTAAAGGTGTAGGAACTTGTGCATCTCTCGGACCTCTGAATACTCATTGTGTTAACTCTCAGAGCTGTGACCTCAGTACTTGTAACAACAGAGTCACATCCAACACTCAGATTCATACTTACCCACCAAAGTGCTATGAGAAATAAAGTTAATTTTGAGTTGCACCACATACAACATTTCTGAACCCTAAAGAGATAGGAACAGAATGGTAAGACAAAACTATATATTCACAGCAGCATGTTCTCTCTATTAAGTATGGATAGGGAAATAACATGGCTTAAATCAGTGTTCTGAAGCATAGAAAGGAATAGGCAAAGGGCAGTGAGGAGTAACTGACGTGGAGGTCCGCTAGGAGATAACAGTTATTTGCCCTTTACCAGGGCTTCATTTTTAATGTTGATGTTAATATGTCACAGGAATGGGATAACCAAGTATTTTCAAACTATATGAAGACCATATTTACTGGAAAAGCCACAGATTTGAAGTTAATTTGTTAATGCAGCAAAACACATTGCTTCTAAAAGGTCAGTAGGGGAAGTTGTGTTGGAATATCAACTTAATTACCTGTGCTGTAAGGATGAATGGGTACAAAACACCACATTGCTAAAAGCTGCTAAATTGCTATTCTAGGTATGTTCCTAAACGTAGTATATACCATAGTTTTTTCTATGAAGGGGAGAAATGTCTAAATTAGCACTTTCTCACCAATAGCTGTTTACCAGCATACCTTTTACTCTAGGTATTTTCTTAATTGTCTTGCTCTAAGTACTTCTGAAGCAACAAGACAGAAAATCTGCAGAAAGCCAATTTTATCACTGCAGATCTGGCACTGTTTTACTAATTATCAGACAAGTGATTTTAAGCAATGAGATGTTGGAGGAAGAAAAATCTTACTTTCATTTTTACACTGTAAAAATGCTATTTAAGAATTATAGATCTCACATCTCATAAAGTAGCTATTATATATGCAAGGACCTTTAACACCATAGCTAGTTAGGGTTTTTATACTAAAGAAGACATTACAAAAGATAACTTTTAGCCTGCGAGGTAACAGCTTGTGAGCAGAATATTATCTCGAACTAATTGTGGATGTCTGTTGAGATATTTTTAAAGTGGTATTCAAAACATAGCCTTTATGAGTAAATTAGAGGTGCTATTTTGTGTGCAGCAACAAGCGCGATTAGAAGAAATGCATAAGGAAACACAACTAGATGAAAAGTGGTTTGTCAGTACATATAGAAAGAAGTGTTTTCTTTCTCAATTAGTAGCAAAGAGTGTTGCTAATAATTTCTAAAGCAAAGCTTTTCTAGATGAATATCTTATTTCCTTCTGAAACTCAGGTCTGGTTTAAAAACTGCTAGCATGTTTTAAAGACATTCAGATATAGGAGAGATGCACTGTCCTGAACGTACCCATGTTCAAACACCTCATCCTACAAAAGATCTGAAGTGCTGACTTTGGAAGAATATGCTGGACCTCAACTGAACACTTGATAAAAAAAAAACAGGGGAGAAAATAACATCACTGAAAAATGTATGGTACCTAAAAAGATTCAGTATAGGAAGCAGATGGAATCTATGAGGCAGCTGTTTTATTATCCATCCAGATAATAGCACACACACTACTCTTTACATACTCCCATATGCACAGCTCACAAACTGGGATGACAAGAACAGTGCATGCTTTACAGCATATATTTTTAATTTACACTCTGAAATACTTCAACAGAA